GTAGTTGGAGGGGGAGTGACGGTGGTCATGTAGTGGGCGATCCGGGAGGATTGAGGACCGGGCACGATGCAATAAAAAGGAAAATCCAGAATAGGAGGAGACCCGTTCTGGTGGAAACTGGAGCGATCGGAGGACCGAGGGTGAGCCCCTGACGCGGTGACAGCTTGAGCTCCTAGACGGGGGCGTGGAGACGGTAAATTAACGACTTTAGGTCGTTGCAGATCAGTCCACCGTGGCGAAATGCTTTGAATATGAGGTCACTTGGAATATGTATAGGATGAAATAGTAGAAGATTTAGAATCAGAGTATAAGAATAATAAGAATAAAGAAAAGAGAAAAGAAAAGAAAAGAGCGCATCGCGCACATAAGTGCGCATATAGTAGAGAGAGAGAGAGGGGGGGGGGGGGGGTTCTGCGTATGGAGAATCTAGAATTACTCACAATACTCAAATTACAGAATTACTGTATCGAAAATAAAATAAATAAAATAAACTATTTACAAAAATAAACCAAACAGAAAAATCACACAAAATTATAAAATAAATCCGAAATAAACCGAAATAAATCAGCTAAAACCCCAAATAACGGGTTGATCCGTTCTCAACCAATGGGACGCTCATCGTGGAAACGGGTACCTTAATTTTCAATTTTACCATACAAGTCTCGCAAGCTAAAACAACACTTCCAATGAAAAAAAGAAAAGAGAAGAGAAGCCTTAACTATTATATTAATTAATACGGACTATTCATATTCATATTTCATATCAACTATTATCACAGTCATACTTGCATATTCTCTAATCTACCCTATATGCTTATCACATATAATTCCCTATGTATCATCTGACCGCCGATGCACGGCGCCTAATAATTAAGGAGGTTGGGCATACAATAATTGTGTGCAGCCTGTAACCGTTGCCCACGCAGCCCTAGTCTGCGTTGTTTGGGGCGTGTTAGAAGGGGTTGGGCCGTCTTGGTAATTTATTTTACTCGAGCATTAGAATTGGCTGCCTCGAACTTTCATTCCAGGACACTAACATACTTTAGTAATCTCCAGTTACAAACAAGGACATCTCATCTTGACTTTGATACAAAAGTACACCCTGATCACCTTGGTTACCCCGTCTTTGTACGAGTCACTTCCCAGCGGAGATGTACTCTGTTCTCCGTAGATGTACCGGATTTACCAGATGTACGATGTACCGGATGTACCAGATGTAAGATGTACTACACAGAGACAGCTCGCAGACTGGGCGAGAACAGCAAGGAGAATCCTTTCCCTCGACATCTCATGTTATGTCATGTCCTACCTTCGGACTTCTACTCTCTGCCAGTTGCATTCTCGCACGGATAGTAGAAACACTGGTTTTATTATTCGGCTTATAATGGACCATCCTTGTTTCAGTGCCTCGTTTACGGAGTAGTTCGTGTTGGCTTCTTAACTTGAATTAACATTGGTTGACCGGATCGTCTGTGCCTCATTTTGTTTCCGCCACCTGATCTCCTGATGCATCGGGGGACTCAGAGAGGAGAGGGATCTCGCGGTCTCTTTTCTGACTGATCCTCCGACTTGCATGAGGCCAATCATATACCGGGGTAAGATGCCGGGCCATGTGGAAGAGAATTAGTAAACTAGGTTCACGGCCGGACGGAAAGGTTCGCGGAACAGGTAGGTAGGCTTAAACCGCGGTGGGCTGGGAGTTGCATATGATGGGTTCTCTTTTCTCTTTGTTCAAAGGTACCCGGGTCTGGACCCCGTATGCTTGGGAGATCATTGACGGGTTCCTTCCCAGCCGTTTTCCCTTGGGAACAGCGTAGGATTCGCTTGTCTACTCGGGGTTTCTTTGTTGAGAGTTCCCTCTCAAAGACTTAGTGTGTCTGTTGCCATGGATGCCGGATGTGTTGTATTACAAAGTAGAGTCCAGAACGTCTTACCAGTATACTTTGTATACTCTGTATATGTTGTATGGTCTACGGAGTAAGAGACTCCAATCAAAGTGATGACAGTAAGATCAGAAACCAAGCCTGTTATATCCACTTTACGAGAAGACTCTAACCGCGTCATTCCGGTTTCTCCACTAATAAAGCGAATGGACGTTCGCGGTCCCGATAACATAGACGATGGATTCCAACTCTTACACATTACGAAAGAGATGGAATTACCTGCAGAAAGCGGATTAAAATGCACCTGTCAGATGGACGAACCCTGGGGCAACCGTTGTGGCCGAGGATCCCAGATTTATTTGGACTCTGCAAGGCTACTACATATGTAATTTGAAGGGTATTTGACTAGTCTCTTTCAACTCATCAACTCACAACATCCATTGTTTCAATGTTCGGCGTTTCGCCCCTTATCCGATCTGCTGGGATTTCAGGTACATAAAGTACGCAAATCCAAGGGCCGTACCGAAAGGGAACCAAGGTTCAAATTAGTGGGCCAACTCACTTTTCTCGATAGATTTTCCTCTAGACCGCACAATAGTATTACCATTTGGGCATGAAAACGGGAAGAGTACACACCGCGTACAATAAACGATGGAGATTGTATGTTGTACACAGAAATACCACATTTACTTTGAGAACATATTCCACTTTCTCTCACTTTCGAGTCGATGATTCGCTCGGTGGGTCATTCTACTCCACGCGAACCAACCCCGAGCCAATCACCACCGATCAAAGATCAGTAGTACGATGGAGTCTATGCGCCAACAATGCCATTGGCCCCATTATCAAAAACAGCCCACTTTATCCAGTTGTTGTGCCTATGATGACGCTCTCTTTATCCCTCACAAATGCCTAGTCACGCACCGTCGGTTCGGGGGACTACGGAATGCTCCACGGTGGGCCTCATCTAGGCCCAACCACCCGCAAAGGGCCGCTATAGGGGGGAGGGTCGCAGTGTCGCCACTTAGGAAAGGGAACTATTTGCTTCCCAAACTACCGGGAGGCGCCCGTGTTCCTTTGGCCTTCGAGAAGGTGGTTCCTGAATGTGATCTTTGAATATCCAAATTTATGGTCAACGGTCTCCGAATGATTATCTTTTACCTCCAGATAGCGTGATTATTACCTGGGCCTTCGACTCCAAAAAAACGAGAGCTTGTCGGGGGGCCAAATCCACCTCGACCTCGTTGGCCCCTCTAACATGCAACTAAAAAGGTAATCCCCCTTCTCTAGAGATTAAACAAGCCGACCAACGACCAACAGACGATCACAGGGATGTTTATCCCGGACTTCCTAGGGAACTTCCTAGGGAACTTCCTAGCGACCGTTGGCAAATTACCACAAGATTTAGATTTTCAACTCACCGCACTACCTTGGACACTAAATCACGTCGGCCCACTTCAAACGCCGAAATGTCTGTGTGTGAAGTTCCAGAATCCGTGGAAGGCACGGGAAGGTCAACCCCCTTTGATCGCTGGGACTGTCAGATCTGAGTCCCAGTACTCTGTAGATTATCCGCCCCAACTGCGCACGAGGGGCTAAATTAGCTTGGATTGGCCTTTTAAATTGTTTTCATTAAAGTGGTCCCACTGTCACTCCAGTAACCTTAGATTTTATATGAAGCTTTCGCGCATCAGGAAGGTGTCTACGGCACAATATAGCAGATCGCCTGTCACCTGTAGAGGCAACTAGCACTAGCCCTCAATTCTATCTAGCGTACGGAGTACACAATTGCGGTGCACACGAGAGCAATGCCACACTTACTGCATGCCATAGGATCTTCTTTATATTTAGATCGCCAGCTAAGGCGGCCATAATAAGTTTTGCGTACCGCGGTCATATATCGACATTGTGAAAGTGATAGATGCCCCTCCCTTGCCCCTGTCGTACTGCCCAAACTGGGTCCATATGTGTGTCATACCTGACTAGCTTATTCCATTGATCTGGGAACTAATGTCCGTGGTCCGGTTGGGTTTGAAACTAGCCCCCTGTCGAGATTGAGGATTGCCCCTATGTCGTTAGCAAGAGGCAATCAATTATGCTTTGCGCTTCTACTTGGGGATCTTGCTCCGCTTCTTCTATGGGGTTCTAGAAATAAAATGGAGTGCTTTCTTCCGGTGCCTTGGAGTGAGGTGTGAATGCTGTTCGATTAATATCTCTCCTTTTAGAATGGTTTAGAAGAGGCTTCTTTACTCCGTGCTATTTCTGTCATTGCCCTACTAAGGAATAGACTTGATAATATCCAAGTTGGTCTTGAGAATCCATAGATGATATATGTTGGATTTCTAAGATATAATACCTTCCAAGAATAGCCGCTTATGCGGCCTTGTTGTTGCCCTTCTTAGTAGTCTTTCTATGTGTCCTTTTTTTTATAGATAACCCCCTTCCCACCCCCGCCCCCTTTATTAGCATTGTAGCTACAAGGATGGGAATAGTTAGCCGCAAGATAAATAAAACATAGTGAAAAGGACGTAAAACATGGTTTCTCGAAGTGAGGTGAGAATGGTTGATTTAATGTTACTCCTTTTTGGTTTTGCTGGAAGTGCTGTTGCCCTGCACCACAATACACTTGATCTCCAAAGTGGTCTTGATTATGTTGTGTATTTGCTTTCTCCGCACAATGCCCTTCATGTTGTTTGGTTGATGGCTTTGATCGTTTGCAGTATCTGCATGATATCTACATACTCAGTTGTGTGCTTAGCTATTATATCTACTTCAGAATTGACCACCATACCCTGAACTAGCCCTCTTTTTCTAGTATCATTTTCACTTTTATATCTTCAGTCCTCGTTTATAGCCCTGAAGCCAAAAGAACAAGCAAAACCATGCCCATGATGGAAAAGCAAATTTGAGGTGATTGAATTGACCAGCTCAAAATCCTCACTTTCAGAAAGAGCAACCAGTGCAGCTTCCCTCATTGTGCCCCTGCTAATATAAATCAAACATTACTCTCTTCGTTTTCTCTTCCTCTCTCGCCTTCACTACACTCACCCTGTGTGGTCTCCTATCTATGCAATTTTTACTTGAGTCTTCTGCCTTTCTGAAATACCACCATTTGACCATGCCTCAGCGACGGAGACGGCCTGTCATGAGTCCGTTTGCGCAGGGATACACTCCACAAATGAGAGAGGCGTTAGTGGACCAAATCTCACTTTGGGAAGTACAATGGTCGCTAACAAATCGATAGCGTGGACCGAATGCCGATTCCAAACGAGTCAGTATTTTCATCCCCCTTAATCTTCACCTGCTCACTGTCACAGAATCAAATGTTGCGTCTGCAAGCGGCGTCGCCCGAAGTCCCTGTACTCGAACAATCAACTCAGCTATCTCCGCCAGGCGATGTTCGATCATGGGTACAGCAACCTTCGTGACCAGCAGGTTGCTAAGTGTGGCCCATGCACGAATGCTCAGGTTTGTGAGGAGCTGTGTCATCGTTGCGGTCACTACCGTGCCATCGACCAATTCGCTAGAAACCAACGGAATCGCGAGAATCCGGTATGTCTTTCCTGAGCTACATACTTTGACTTATTCTAACATTTGGTTGGTCTCAATAGCTCTGCCAGCCCTGCATGAACTATCAGATGTCCCTCGATCCTGCCGATCAACCTCTTGCGATCATGGACAAGGTTGTGGTTGAGGATAAGGGAGAGGATGAGGAAGACGAGGTCAACTCTGAGTCTGCGGGTGGTTCTGGATCTGTGGCTTTGTCTGGTTCCGTGGGACACTCTGACTCTGTCAAGCTCTCTGGACCTGCGTGTTGGCTGGTAAGTGATCAGAACTACATCAACTCTGGCCAAGTTTTGGTTTGACTCATGCACATATTTTTGCTGCAGGAGAGCCTAGAACAGGGCACCGAGCGAGCTCTTGTCCTGCAGAATGCTTCCACAGATAGTGAGAATAAGGATAACGGGGGCGGCTTTGCAAGAGTCAAGGTAGGTGACTTTATTCCAAGGGAGTTTTTATCGATGGACTTTTAACAAAACTTCATATCGTATAGGCGCACCGTGGTCGTCAGGAGCCTGTTCCTGACCCCGAGCCCGCCCCAGGCTGGGCACCGGGTACTCGCAAGGTCAACGATGGCACTCCTTGGAAAGGAGAAAGGTTTCTCTAATAATTTCCAACACCGTGCCAGTGCATTTTTTACGAACAAACCTCGAACTTATGATTGACGATGCTTCTCTATCTATGAGCACTTCGGCTGCTAATTTGCGCCTAGTATTGCAGTCCGCGGCTTGCTTTTCTTCTTCTTCTTCTTCCTCTTCTTCTATCTCTAGTACTCCTGGTTTCTCAGTCGCTTTTTCATACACACGGTCTTGGTTCTACCCATGATGTCTCCTATGTACCCAGAAGCGCTTTTTTTGCTCTTTCTTCGCGGAGAGCGAGTTCCCAGTGATTGCAGCCCTGTGCCTGGTGCATGTCTTACAGGCAAGCTTTTTCAATTTCTGATTGACAGTGCTCTTATTTACGGGGTGGGGTGGACTTTAAGTCCACCTCTGATATAACCCTGTCTACTAAATTTTTTATTTTATTTTTCGCTTTCTTTTCTCAACTCATAGGGTTATGTTTCATGAAGACCCAGGTATCAATCCATTACTTTGAATGTTTTTCATTTTCCCTTTTTTGAACCCCTGCATTGCCATGGTTATGACATCGGTGGTTCCGTCAACCCCACCTACTATAAATAAACCTGTAGTTCGACTTCATCATAGTTCAGGTATCAGGTATTCAGGCAAGTTCCAGCTATTTCGGGTAATTAGAATGACTATAAGGGCAGTGGCAAACTGATTAACCTGTTGAGAATTTGCGATAAACTTTTAATTTGTTCGTTCCAATAATGGTGTCAGGTACATTTTATGAGAGGGCAACCATATCGAATATATAGACAACCCTTGAACTACGAAAATAACCTGATCTATCGATCGGAGCCCTAACCGTCAGATCCCGACAGTTGGCAATGACATAGCTCAATCTTTGGAATCGTATCCTCCACAACTCTGATAGGCGTGAGAGAAACTATAATTGCACACATTGCATGAAAGATGCATGTTCTGTTAGTCTGCCGATTGTGTGGCTCTGACCCAGTCAAGCAATATGACAGAACATCTGTGGGACTTAAATATATAACAAAGGGCTAACAATATATTAAAGAGCGACCGGCATAATATGTGACGTCGAGGGAGTACAAAGAGAATGAATCTTAAATCTGTCCCTTAGTGACGATGTGATCGCCACAACGTTTCACTCGCCCCTCCCCCTCTCCACACCAGCCCCTCCATAATTTTGTGGTAATTTGTAACATCTCTTCACTTTTTCTTCCTAGAACTTCTCTTCCAAGTTGATTCATCTATTTGCAGAAGATTACACATCTTTGTGCAGAGAGCAGTTCAGCCACATCCGAACCTCCGAACCCCCCGTATGGCCTACAATGAAAGTTACGCCAGGAATACATATCAAACGGGCAAAATGAACCCAGATCCAAACGAACATAGGTACTCGCCTACACCCCCATATCCATCCTACCACGAACCAGCCCACCTGAACATGCCGCAACCACAAGTGCCGTGGACTAGCTCGCCAGCCTCAAACCCAACTCCAGAGCCCTACCATTATCCGGAATCACATCGCTCCTCCCCAAATATGAACACCGGGCACATAGACAATGCAGTGAGCTCTGCATTTCATAGCAGTGGCTCCACAGGCTACCTCTCCCCGGAAGTTCTATCGCAGATCACAGCAACAGTGATTCAGCAGCTCAAAACAACCGGGTTAGACAACCTACAAGGATCTAGTGCGCCCCCGCCTCGCTCGCAATCACAGCAGCCACCATGGCAAACAGATGACTCCTTGCGGCCGCACGCAGAGTCCCCGCCTGCCATACCCCTGCCGCGAAGCAGTTCAATCCCACCGCCTAGTTCGGCCTCTGACAATATCCATACTGGGAATTTCCAGCCACACGTCTCTCCCGGTTACACTAGTGATAGTCACCTCAGCCCCAAACCTACCCTCGATCCCCTTGCGAATAGACGGGGCTCAATATCGAGCCAGAGTAGTGATCGGAGTCATCATAGCCACCATAAAGCGGAACGTCCGAAACCTCCGGATCGGGACGCTACTGTTATGGAGATGACTACTCTAGAGCGGATTTGGGGGAGGTTGTTTGAGGATGGTAAGGCGACGAAGAGGCTTGGTCAATTCTTACGTGGGATTGCGGTTCATCTGGTATGTGGGATTTTGTCTGTTCTGTGTCCTACGGATTTTGATGGCTAACTTGACTAGATTGAGGACTATCCACCGGGAAACACTATTGTTATCCCCCCTCACAAATTGCAAAAGTTCTATCGTGATACTCATGATCCGAATGACCCTTATCCATGGCAAGGTTGGTGGTTTGATCTGTTCATCGAAATGCCATATTCTGATCAAATATCTAGATATCTTCGACGATCGTACATCTTCAATATCGAGACTCTTCCGCGAAATCAAAGTCGAACATCATCTCATTCAAGATGATATAGAAAAACGCCCAGATATCCCAGGCCTAACTCCCAAGGGCTTCGAGACCTGGGCAACCTTGATGATCCTAGCAAACCCAGGACGCGAATACGAGCGGCTCCAAAAGGCAGTTCTTAACATGCCCATCAACAACCCAGACGACAAGAAAGAGCGTTTCCCAAAAGAAATCCCGCGCAGTCTCTTCCCAGAAATCGGAGATATCGCAATAAGAGAAGACATCGAGGACCGCATGATGGTCCACTGCGGCGTCGATCTACCATACATCACCCCCGAAGAACGCAACCAATCCGCCGCCCGATCAACCCGCTCATCCACCACAACTGCATCACCCACAGAGCGAACCCACTCATACGAGCGAGGGCGACCCCGCCCCACAGCCTCGATCCCAAAACCAGCTCAACAACCACAATCAAGACCCGCCTCGACCGTCACAGATGACGGAGAAGACGAGCCCATCCCTTCAGTGCCAATCGAGCGCGAACGCAAGCCTTACAGCGCTAATCCAGGTGTCGGCAAAGTCTATGAAGAACAAGCACAAAGTCGCAACCACACGGGCTCCTTCTCCACGTCCCGGCCATCGGAATCTACTCACAAGGCACCGACATCGGGCACAAATCCAGCACACCGCATGTCCGACTCCTATGACCGCGACCCGCACTACTCACGCTCGGGATTGGGTCATTCTGCTGATAAGCGGTTCTCGAATTCGCATGACCCCCGCAGCTCGTCACTGAGTGTGAACCACCGCGGTGGTAATGGCGGTGGTGACTATAGGCATTCAGAGGGTGATTTGCATGGTCGTGATCATGCGGCTAGATATGCAGGGCTGTCGGCACATGATTTGTCGTACAGCGAGTCGCCTACTACGAATTTGCCTGAGGATGATATGCGCAGCTACCATCATGGTGGTCGGGGTAGTAATGAGGACTATTACCGGGGAAGTAGCCAGGGTGGGGGGTCTGGGTCTTGGTATGACAAGTATGACAACTATTACCGTTGAGATGGGTTACTTTATGGTTTGGTGTCTTGGTTTCTTCTTTGGTGATTGCATGTCAAGGTCATTTTTCTGCTATTCTGGCTCTCGATCTAACTTTGGTCTTGACTCTGATTCTTTTCAAGCTCGGCGTTGCATGGATACGAAGATACCCCTTCTTTCCGGGGTTGTGTATGACTGACGATATCTCATATTTCATGATTAACGTTCTGCTCTGTTCCAAATACATGTGAGATATAATAATTACATCAATAGTGGCATCAGGAATGAAAAAAAAAGTGTAGCGCATACTCAAGTCGAACCCACCTCACCCTTCCCCCCAAACCCAAACTTCCTCATAACCCTCTTCCCGTCTTCTCTAACTTTCCTAAGTTCCCTCTCCCTCTCATTCTCCTCCTTTTCATACCGACGTGCAATGGCCTTGGCATGTCTCTCCTCACGCTCAATCCTCTTCCTAGCAATCCTCTCTGCGCGCCTCTTGTCCTCCAACGCGCGCTCATCACATCTCTCAGCATCACCACGCAACGTTTCAATCTCCTCGTCAGTTAACACCCACGGCACAGACAAGACCTCAATAAGGAACCGCAAACGGGTATCCAGGAACTGCATTTCGGCGTTCGTATCACGCACGAGCCAGAACCGCTCGAGGTGTAACTGCATCTGCGAGCGGAAGGTAGACAATGTACCCTTTACTCGGACTACCGTTCCTGGTTGCAGAGCTGAGATATCTATCTCGTCGTGGTCTTTGGAGGTTACGTGTGTTTCTTGGGTGAGGTTGGTGGCTGTCGGTGTTGTGAGAGAGAATGAAGACCATGGTGTTTTTTCTTGGCTTGTGCTTGAGGTTGTCTGGCTAGTAGTGCTGGGTTTTGGTGACGTCTTCTTTAATACGGCTATGTCGATTGTGGTGCCGCTGCTGTCATCCAGTGTTAGGATTGTGCGTCGTGGGATATCAGTTCGCGCCACTATGATGCCTACTAGGCTGACGAATTGGATTGGGTGGTTGTTGTAGAAGAAGATGTTTTGGCCTGTTGGGGTCTGTTAGTTATGTGGGGATTTCAATGTATACATAGGCTTGGCTGTGTTTGGGTTGGATGGGAGGGACATATAGGGTAATAGGACGACAGAATATGTTTGGATATGTTGGGAAAATATGACAGAGCATTGGAACAAGCATAAAAAGTCCAGATATAATGAAAATGAAGCACAGACAGCCTGGTGGAACATATCAAATAGATTGCTTCACACTAACGCATCTTTTCGAGCATCCACGCCAGAGGACCCGAAAATATGCACATAGGCGCTACACGCATCGATCTCCAGGGAACACGAAGAATTGGCAGCAGGCTCGAAAAAAGAAATAACATACCTACAAAGTCACTCGACTTTCGGAGACGATGGACATCAGCTGCACCCATTTTCACCCAGGTAAAATGCGTTGGTGACGCCTTGAAGCAGAACGCGGGATAGAATATGAGGTTCTCATTGTTGACTGTTGCCATTGGTTCATCTTTTTTTTTTCTCTGGAGGTTCTTGTTTTGGAGATATCAAAAAAGATATGTTAAGAGTTGCATCCTGCACTGGAAGCTGGAACCGTTGAAAGTCAGGTTGGTGTCACGTGGTTGTATATAAATAAAGTCGTGGCTTGTGTTCTTTCCTGTTTGTTCAATGCTCAAAGGAGATCTTTTCTGGGTCTTCATGGCGTGAGCTTTAGTGTATCTCGGTGACCTCGGTGATACTCCGATTGATTTACTCATGGCCACTATTTTCACATTCTACGTCATTGTCTCAAGACGACCTTAACTAGCCCATGATGGCACTGGAGCACATAATCGCTGAATTCTGTACCACTTTTTAATACTGCTACCCCACAATCTCTATAGATAAATATGCTTATCTCCCTCCATCATCCTTTTCATCGGATTCCTCGGCATGGCCTCCTGCCTCTTCCTCTCCTCAGCACTAATATCATCAACGTTAGTCTCCTTCTCCCCCAATGCAGCTCTAACCTCCTCTGCTGCATTCTCATGTCCCGCAAAAGCAACTGTCAAAATCTCTCTCTCCAACCCACCAACATGCTCCCAGTCAATGCCCGCTTGAGTCAACATCCGACAACCCTCCGACTCTCCAACAAACGTGCCAGGCTCCTTAACCCCAAAGTAAACCTTATGGATACCTTCTCGCTCACCCTCCGCTGTCCGCGTAATGCGCTGCACACACGGCGCATTCCCAGACAGCCGCTTCCCGCACGGCTCCATCGTAACGTACATGATGAGCTTGCGGCCGGGCTCGACAGGGAGGACTTCGCCAACTTGGTCATCCGGGACTTTGTGGACTGCGGCGTAGTTGGAGAAGCAGCATTGCTCTGCATGTGTGTTGCCTGCGAGCTCCATTGTGTACCCCGTTGAGAGAATCCGGTCGTCTGTGAAGGTGGGGTCGTTGTCTTTGCGGGATAGTAGAACTGCGCCGACTCGGAAGTTCGTCGGTCTTGGGGGTGATTGCTCCGCTAGCGAGAGGCATTGTTTTAGGTAGGGGATGTGAGGGGAGGTGCTTGTCGTCATGGTGAGTGATGTCAATTGCGATTTGGTTGGGTGTGCGCGGTGTGGGAGGGGGTTTGGTAAGGTTGGTGTCTTAGATGTAGAATGTTAATTTTGGATTGGATTTAGACGGTCTCTGTAGCTCTTGAAATTCGAGGAGAGTGAAGTGGCGCTGTCGATGAGCTCGGGGTGCTTGAAAGTGGGATAGACAAGGCGGGGAGCAGCAGCAAAATGACGAAATGGCCCCGTCGCGTCTAAATCGCGTTCCATTATTTCTACGACCTACGCTACTGTAATAGCCAGTTCTATTGGTCTTTTGATCTATTAAATCCCAATTCGGTGTAATATCTAAATTTTACCCAGTTCTTCCTCTTGGTGCTCGAACAATTCAAATCCGCATATTGCGTCACCCAAGTCCTACAATGGCGAAAAACGCGAATCGCGAAAACCATGCCTCAGACGAAGAAATGCCGTCTGTCGATGAAGACCTCTATAAGATTCTAGGCGTTGCATCCGATGCAACCCCAGAAGCCATCAAAACTGCATACAAGAAGAGCGCTCTGAGAAACCATCCCGGTATGCAAACACGCCCAGTTCCCAAAATATCCAAGATACTAATCTCAGAGCAGACAAGGTGAGCGAAGAAGCCCGCGCAGACGCCAACGCAAAGTTCCAACGAATCGCACTGGCATACGGTGTACTCTCCGATGAGCGCCGACGAAACGTGTACGACCGGACTGGCAGCACAGACGAAGCCTTCGGCGAAGATGGCGACTTCAACTGGATGGATTTCTACCGCGAACAGCTGTCAGCGATGCTTGACTCGCGGGCGATCTCAGACTTCCAGAAGAAATACCAAAACTCAGACGAGGAGAGAAAGGACCTGCTCGCTGCGTATGAGACGCACGAGGGCAATATGGATGCCATCTATGACACCGTGATGTTGTCTAATGTATTAGACGACGATGAACGGTTCCGGGGTATTATCGATCAGGCCATTGCGGATGAGGAAGTGGAGGACTTCGAGCGATACTCCAAGGAGCCCGAGAAGAAGAAACAGCAGCGTGTGAAGAAGGCGCAGAAGGAGGCGCGTGAGGCGGAGAAGTTGGGAAAGGAGATTGAGGATAAGAAGAAGAAGAAAGCTGGGGGTGTGGCGAAGAGCTCGAAGGCTGCAGCGAATGAGGATGATCTCTTGGCTATTATCACTAAACGTCAGCAGGATCGTGGCGTGGGCTTCCTCGCTCGCTTGGAGGAGAAGTATGCGCAGCCTGGGAAGAAGCGTGCTGTAGATGATGAGCCTTCTGAGGAAGCATTTGCTGCTGTTGGGGCTCGGAAGGGGACAAAGCCTAAGTCGAAGAGGGCTAAGGCTTGAATTAGGGACTTTGTTTCCTGTAGGATTCATGTGTCATGTCTAAGCGTTTATCATGTGGGTTTAATAGGAGTTTTGTAATTGCATACCACGATACCTTTTCATTATTCTGGCTATAGCACTGACATGGTGAAAAAGACATAAAAAGGATATATAAGAAGACCCTACTAAAACAGCTTCAAGAGACCTCGAAAGATATCCAAAAAAATATATATACACTTGGACATGGTAGAAGAACCTGGGCATGCAGCCACTGTGGCTGCAGTAAAAAGCCTCACCTTGGGCTCCTTCTCCTAATTCTTCTTTTTCAACGTTCCTTTTAGTCCTCTCCTTTTTGTGTTCTTTATGTTCTTTCTCTTTTAATCCCAATGGTGCAGAATCCGATTGCCGAATATCATAACCATCTGTCGGCTTGATTTAAGATCTTTCTGAACTACCAGAACTGCCAGAACTGCCAAACCTACTTCCTAATCCCTAGCAGCTAAACCCCAAACCCCTTGTTAGCACCGTCATAGGGCGATCTGCTCCACATTCCTCGGTACTTGGCGGAGTTGAGTTGAGTTCCCCACAGCCCGGAGGCGGTGCCACCATGTCGTACCACACTGGTCGAACTTCTCCTGAACAACTGAAAAGCTTGGAAGGTCGATCGACAATATCAACGACCCAAATAAACGAGAAACAAACAGGTCTAAGCCGGACGCAGAACTTGCTGATTGCCCCGCAGTCTAAGGGTGCGGGCGGGACAACCTATTCGCCTAGAGGCGGAACCCGCAGTCCAGTCGAGCCACTCGTATCTTCGCCTTTGCGCATCAGTTTTTCAGATATGGCATCCGCTCCAAGTTCGCCGGAGAGGCACACCGCCGATCGCGAGGCTCTTCCTCGTAGATCATCCGACCATGTTGTTGAAACTGTCCGCTCAACTACGGGCCTTGGTATTGATGATGCAAAATCTGATGTCGCTTCGACTTCTCTAGAGCAGCCACACGTCAAAAAGCGATTTTTGCAGGCTCGAGATAGATCCCAGAGCCGCAAGGGTGTGGCCGCCATTATGTCTGGTCGTCTCTTCCCGAGAAGCTTTTCCCGTGGCAGAGACTCATCACGGGGTTCTTCCCAGCGCGGATCGTCTCTCGACTCTCACGATACGCCTTCACCTGAACGGGGTCGTCCTAGTTCCTCTGGCAGTCATTCTGTTCACGTTGAAACCTTGACTACCGCCCCTAGTAGTTCAGGAAAGGGGAAATCACTCAACATGCACGATACATTCAACAAGTCAGACGAGGTATTGACTAAACCCCATGGAAGCCTGCCTGATTATATCAAACCGACGGCCGTGGAGGAGGGAGGGGAGCGAATTGCCAAGGATGTTTTCGATCGCGACAAGAACATGATTGAAAGTAGTGAAGATGAAGCCAACGATACTTCGAGCGATGAAGACAGCACTCTGGAAGGTGTGCGAGGCCGCAAGAAAAAGAAGGACTCGGATATCACATCTATAACACCAAGCGACTTTGAAAAATCCAAGGACGATGATTCCAAGCAGCCCGAAGAACGTATGTTGTTTTCTCGGAGCTTCTATTACATAGGAAATCCAATGTACTAATCTCAAATTGTATAGAAAAAGTTCCTGAACCCCCAAGTGGACGACAGGAGAAGAAACCGCGAAAATCTGCTTTGAAAGCCGTGGTCCATCCTCAAACCAGTTTCGATATCCCCACCCCGCGTGTTCAGTCAGTGGCTGGCACACCTTACGGCTCAGAGGATGAAGCCGAAATCGGTGACATTCATCGTGCCCAGAAGCTCAGCATTTCCATGTCAGCTATTGATAACGGTGTCCACAACCGATCCATCCGAACAATTGTCCGCGGGAACTTTTCAAGTCCGCAGGATCAAGGTGATGGGAGCCGTCGCCGCCGTCGGAAGTATTTAATCGCAACCGACTTGAGTGAAGAGTCAGTCTATGCCCTCGAGTGGACTATCGGGACCGTTTTGAGAGATGGAGACACGATTTTCGCCATCTACGCCATGCATGAGGACTCCACTACTGCGTCAGCGGTGCAGGTTGGCGAGGGAGCAAAAGTGATGAAAGATGCAACGGCTGTCGTTGGCACCCAGACGAAAGAAGCCAACCAGAATTATGGATCCCGTACGATCCTGGGTCGACTTGGCCCTAGTACTGCCAGCAGGACACATTCTGCTGATTCCCGGGCCTCGTCAATCGCCGAGGCTGAACGGGTGAGGGCAGTTGAGACTGTGTCTCAGACCTGCGTGAAGCTGCTGCGGAAAACGGTCTTGCAGGTCCGTATTGCCGTAGAAGTGATCCACTGCAAGAACCCAAAGTCTATGATCACCGAAGCTGTAAGTACTTTCTCTGCTCTCAACCTCCCTATTATCTCTGATCCGTACTTACAATGACTCTCAGATTGATGAACTTGAACCTACACTTGTCATTGTCGGTGCACGGGGTCAGAGTGCACTGAAGGGGTGAGTGATTTAAATTTCTAGTTTAGTATCGTGCTGCTGGTCAATACTAACATTGCCTTTAGTGTCCTTCTCGGTTCGTTCTCAAACTATCTTCTTTCTAGTTCCTCTGTGCCGGTCATGGTCGCACGCCGAAAGCTGAAGAGGCATACGTGGAAAGACAAGCTCAAGGGCACGACGAATGTGCGTCTATCCAATAATCTAATTACTCCGAAGAGTCTTGCTCAAGCCAAAGTGGATTAATTCGGTGCACTCTGTTTCTTTTACTCTCTACCTTGCATTTCTATGGATCGGGTCATGGCGAGGCGCGCGGATTCTCACTGTCTCTATTTAACGCGTATGGATACCCTACTTTTCATGGGCCCAAGATTTCACATTATGATGACTGTCTCTCTCCTCTCTCCCGGTTTACTTCCCGTTTTTGATTCGGGCCTATGGTATTATTATTGCTTGTCGTGTTCTTAATTGCTTAGTATTGGTGTTTTAGAGGCATGGCACCTTGAACAAAAGAGGTTGCCCTACACTGGACTTGGTATAATGTAAAATATAGGTCTATTTCTATACTATTACTTCATTCATAATGTGACTATCAAATCAAAGTTTATACGTAGAAAAGTCGCTTTTTTTTTTATCGCTTTCGTATACACCGAAAAAGCTCTTAAAAACAATATCCAAAAAGACCACTGAAAAGACCTTTGAAAAGACATGATAAGGCCACCTAAACGGCCGACTATTTTTGTATTTGATAGTATAAATTGAAAATATGCTACCCAGTAGTCCGAGTTAGGCTTAGCTGAAGCGCCCAGGGGAATGGGGATGCCTAGATCCCGAAGAGCTGCTTGACGCCACAGCCCCAAGAGTCAGACATTGTCTCTGATTTACACGCATATAGAGATGATCTCCTTTGGAAATTCAACCTATCTGTTGGGATTTGGGATACGATATGCCATCTACATTGGGGCAACAACATAACAATAAATGTCTGAAGGTAAACGATACGGCCGGAAGCAAGTGCCAAACAACATTAAGTGAAAAAGTGTTGTCTCACTTTGGGAAATTCGGCTTTTTGTGGAGTTGATGCATAATATTCTGGATTGCAAATACTTTTTTTTTTTTTTTTTGCTTTTTGCGAGTTGCCAAATATGCATGCGGTTTGTTCTCATACTCTTTTGGTTTTGGTTCGATAACCTCTAACAACGATATAGTCACCACAACGAAGAGGACTTGGAGCTAGTATGAAACTACATGTACTTCAACTGGGAATATTGTCATTTCGACTAGCTGGGGTGACTGCGCAGTTTCCACCATCCCTCAGTTTAGACGACGTTGAGGTCAAACTTGTCTCATCGCCCGCCAATACCAATATCACCATTCAGTACAAATCACCACTGCCGGGTACTTGCAAAACGGCTTTTAGCTCCCAAAAGCAGTATACGGGTTATGTCAATCTCCCGCCTGCTACTCTATCTCTGGTCCAGCAGGATTACCCCATCAACACGTTCTTTTGGTTTGTGGAAGCCCGGGAGAACCCTAAGAAAGCTCCACTTACAGTCTGGCTCAATGGTGGACCTGGGTCGAGTAGCATGATCGGCATGTTTCAAGAAGTTGGACCCTGCGAGGTTGTTGAGATTGACAAGACTCGGCTGGGAACCCGAGCTAGGGCTTGGGGTTGGGATCGCAGCTCGAACATGCTATTCATTGACCAGCCAAATCAAGTTGGATTTTCATATGATACACCCACCAATGGATCCCTCAATCTTCTCTCTGGATTGCTCTATTCTCAAGCCAAATCGGTTCCGCCGAAGCAGCCACATAATACCTTTTTGAATGGTACATTCCCTTCGCATGATCATGACCATACAACCAATACCACGGCTAGCTCCTCTCAAGCAATTTGGTATGTTTTGCAGGCATTTCTGGCCGAATTTCCACAATACAACCCTAGTGGCAATGGGAATAACTCCGTTGGCATTAACTTGTTTACTGAAAGCTATGGGGGCCACTATGGGCCAGCCTTTGCGACATACTTTGAAAAGCAGAATGACTTGCTGGATCAGGGAAAGCTACAAGCAAACAAAACCTTGAAGATTGATCTCACCTCCTTGGGAATCATCCAGGGCTGCGTGGATGATACGATACAGGGGTCGTCTTACTCAGATTTTGCACATAGCAACTCATATGACATCAAAGCAGTCAGCCTCACAGATTACAAGAGCATGAAGCACTCTTTCGCAAAAAGCGGCGGGTGCCGGGAACAGATTGAGAAATGCCGCAAAGCAGTAACATCCAAAGATCGAAACAATACAGCAGCCGACGAGTGCTCATCCGCGGTAATATACTGCAACCAGTATGTGGTAAACCCGTTTGAAGCTAGCGGCCGGAGCCCTTACGACATCTCCCAGGCATCTCTAGATCCTTTTCCGTCAAATCTCTATCTAGAATATCTGAATTCTGCAGCAGTCCAGTCATCTATCAAAACACCCGTCAACTTCAGCACGTCCAACCAAGACGTGAGCTATGCCTTCACAATGACAGGTGATCGCGCCCGAGGCGGCCAAATAGCACAGCTGGCCTCGCTGCTAGCAAAGGGCGTGCGAGTCGCGCTGATATACGGCGACAGCGACTACCTCTGCAACTGGCGGGGAGGTGAAGCAGTTTCCTTCGCTGTAGCCGCAGAAGCCTCCAATTACACATCCTCTTTCAATTCTGCAGGATACATCCCCATCATCACGAACGACAGTTACATCGGCGGCGTTGTCCGACAGGCTGGGAACCTCTCCTTCTCGCGAGTCTATGACGCAGGCCATGAGGTCCCGGCTTACCAGCCGGAGACGATGTTCACGCTATTCAGTCGTATCATCCAGGGTGGGAATGACCTGTCTTCTGGAAAACCTGCGGATCTGGCTACGTTCAGGTCTAAGGGTGATGCTAACTCAACGGCAGTCAATCATGCCCCGCCCATGGCTTTGCCGACCTGTTTCTTGCGGAATGTGGTTGCCACGTGCAGTCAGGGTCAGCAGAATATGCTTCAATCTGGGAGTGGAGTTATTATTAATGGTGTCCATTATGAGAGTGAAGCACAATGGTATGCGAAAGGTACCCGGGCTGGTGATGGTATGCTATTTGGCGATGCGGGTGTTCCGGGTACAGAATCTGTGGAGATGATGGAGATGACCCCCAGTGCGAGCAAATTTAGTGAATTGCCTTCTATTGGGGTATTCACTGCGACCACCACACCGCGGATGAAAGAGCAGCGCTCGATTTCTGGGGGTGTTCTATCTAATGAGATTCCTGGAAGATTTGGATTGGTCACCATCATTGCATTATTTGTGTTTATAGTAAGAATAATTTGAATGAATGATTAGAAGATGAACATCCAAAGCTGCCAAGTAGTACGGAGTACAAGGTGCAATATAAAAAGCACTCGGATGCCAAGAAATGAAGACCCGGTCTACGCAATCTTGGACCGCATCACGTGCAACGTCACCGCCCAAGCTCCCCCCATCGAGACAGCTGGACCAACCCCCCAGTCCCACCTTTGCTCTCTTCCCCATCCTTGCCTTTTCTACTCTGAATTTCGCCCGCGGAGGATCAAATTCGCCATGGCCGACTTTATTGACCCCCGGATGTCCTCCATCAAGCCTCGGATGCGCTACAATACCATCGGAGGTATCAACGGACCGCTGGTTATCCTCGACAATGTGAGTCTATAATGTTCCGATAACATAGGGGAATTGTATACTAAATATGACATTCCAAAATAGGTCAAGTTTCCCCGTTATAACGAAATTGTCTCGTTGACGCTCCCAGATGGCACAGAGCGCAGTGGTCAAGTGCTGGAAGCCAGAGGTCTGTCCCCACATTCTGCCGTTCAGTCTAGGAGTATGAAAGCTGATATTATAACTAGGAAACCGGGCTGTTGTGCAGGTGCGGACTAAAAGCTCGGCCCCTTAATATGCAAGACATTAACTTAGCTCGTTTGTGAACTAGGTGTTCGAAGGCACTACCGGTGTCGATGTGAAGAAGGTACAACAACCAGCCTATGGAAATGATTTGAATGTTGCGCTGACATCCCGTTCAGACCAAAGTCGAGTTTAGTGGCCACAGCTTGAAGCTTGGCGTTTCCGAGGACATGTTGGGCCGAACATTCGACGGTTCGGGACGAGCTATCGACAAGGGTCCTAAGGTGTTGGCAGAGGATTACTTGGATATCAACGGCCAGCCTATCAACCCCTACTCACGAGTATGCGCACTGTCACCGTTATACAATAAAACTGGCACTACGGGAAGCTAACGGACGGACAAGGTGTACCCCGAGGAAATGATCTCGACTGGTATCTCCGCTATCGATACGATGAACTCTATTGCTCGTGGACAGAAGATCCCTATCTTCTCGGCTGCTGGTTTACCGCATAACGAAATCGCCGCGAGTATATGTCGCCAAGCGAGTCTGGCCAAGCCCACGAAGGATGTTCACGACGGCCACGAAGAGAACTTCTCTATCGTCTTCGCCGCCATGGGTGTCAATATGGAGACTGCCCGCTTCTTTAAGCGCGATTTCGAGGAGAATGGTAGTATGGAGCGTGTTACTTTGTTCCTGAACTTGGCCAACGACCCGACTATTGAGCGTATTATTACTCCTCGTCTTGCCCTGACCACTGCCGAATACTACGCCTACCAGCTCGAGAAGCATGTCCTGGTTATTATGACTGATATGTCGGCCTACTGTGATGCCCTGCGTGAAGTTTCCGCTGCCAGAGAAGAAGTCCCCGGTCGTCGCGGTTACCCCGGTTACATGTACACAGATTTGTCCACCCTGTACGAGCGTGCTGGACGAGTCCAGGGCCGCAATGGTTCTATCACACAGATTCCCATTCTGACTATGCCTAACGATGGTGCGTTGCTTAAAATTTGCTATACCCTTTTTGTCATTGCTTCTCCACTTCGGGGGTGGCGACGTTGACATGTTTACTTGTCCTAACCCGAATCATACTAACTTATACCCATCCACGCAGATATCACGCACCCTATTCCCGATTTGACCGGCTACATTACGGAGGGGCAGATCTTTATTGATCGTCAGCTCGACAACCGCGGTATCTACCCACCGATCAACGTCCTGCCCTCTCTATCCCGTCTGATGAAATCCGCAATTGGCGAGGGCCGCACTCGCAAGGATCACGGAGACGTTTCTAACCAGCTGTACGCTAAGTACGCCATTGGTCGTGATGCCGGTAAGCAATTTGCCCTAAGGAAACCCTCAATTGCATTATTTTGCTCTTTCCTAATTGGATAATATCTCTAACCAATACAATCAGCCTCCATGAAAGCCGTCGTAGGAGAAGACGCCCTCTCCTCGGAAGACAAGCTCTCTCTCGAGTTCCTCGAGAAGTTCGAGCGCACCTTCATCAGCCAGTCTCCCTACGAGGCACGCACCATCGAGGAATCCCTCGACCTTGCTTGGAACCTCCTGCGCATCTACCCCAAGGAATTGCTTAACCGCATCCCCAAGCGCACTCTCGATGAGTTCTACGCCCGCCACGCTCGTAAGATCCCTAACAAGGATACCAACGATAACTCGCATGAGAACCTGATCGACGCATGAGGTGTCGTGTGTTGAGCTGAATCCTGTGTCTTGGGCTATATTGAGGTAAACTATCGCCGTGCGAGGAGGTAGAAGTGGAAAGCTAGAGAGCCCTGGCTAGGGGATTAGTAAATCCCGTTTTTGTCGATGTCAATTGCATATACTCCTATCTTTTCAATGTTGTTCTTGTTGTGCGGCTGTTCGTATCTTTCTTGGTTGTTTTTTTTTTTGGTCTTTTCTTGCTCGAGCATGATACAATATCAAATCTATTCCAGGGGCTATTTTTGCTCTTTACAGAATTATGGGGTGATCGGGTTGTTCGTCGATTCTATGTGTATGGTGGTCTTTTTGTAGGTGGTAGATAATAGACTGCTATTGTTCCGAAGTCCAAAGATGTTGGATGCTTGATGTATTAGGCATTAGTCAGGCATCCAATGAGGACAGATCCTATTTGTATGTAGTTAGCTATATTGCTCCCTCTTCTCCCTTTCTCTCCTGATCTCCATCGTACGATCCGTAAGAAAAGCTAGGTGCGGTTGTTCGTATCTTGATTGCTCGAGCATGGTACATTATCGAATCTATCTACAAAATTATGAAATGACTGGTTTGTTCGTCGATTTTTTGCGTATAGTGAATGAGTGGTCTGTTGTAGAGTAGGAGAATAAACTGCTATTGTTCTAGAGTTTAAACCTATCTATGGTTATGACGGTCCGGAAAAATGAAAACAAAAGACCGAAAAAGGGATATCCAAGTGTTTTTTTTTTTTTTTACTATTAACCCCAAAAAAAATAAACCCCAAAATAAGGAAATGAAAGTCTGCAATAAAAACGCTTTTTTCATGACCTCCCGCAATGTAAAGCATAAAAGCACGTAGGAATCATGAAAACCTCGTCATAACGACGGCCGAAAAAAAAAAAGGAAATATGAAACAGTATTGATGGTTTATGCAAGATCAGAAAACCATTCAGAAAAGTTCGAAAGCGTCTAGAAACGCAGATCCCAGTCAATCTTAGGGCCCAGGCGGGGAAGTTCGTCGGCGACCTGCTGAACATCCTTGTCACCGCGACCACTCAGGTTGAGAACAATGTTCTGGCCCTTCTCCATTGTCTTGGCGATTTGCATGACGCCCCAGACGGCGTGCGAAGACTCCAATGCAGGGATGATACCCTCGTGTTGGGCGAGAGCACGGAAACCAGCAAGGGCCTGGCTATCGTCGGCGGTGATGAAGGTGGCACGGTTGGTATCCTTCCAGTTGCTCAGCTCGGGGCCGACACCGGGGTAATCGAGACCAGCAGAGATTGAGTGAGTATCCGAGATCTGACCGTGCTCGTTCTGTAGGACGTAGGTGCGCACACCGTGGAGGACACCGTGGGAACCGCCAGAAAGGGTAGCGGAGTGGCGGTTGGTATCGACACCATCGCCGGCAGCCTCGACACCGATGAGCTTGACACTAGGGTCATTGGAGAAGGGATAGAACATTCCGACTGCGTTGGAACCACCGCCAACACAGGCGATGACGGCATCGGGGAGTTTGCCAATCTGGGCCTGCATTTGCTCCTTGGTCTCGTTTCCGATCACGGATTGGAAGGTACGGACGATGGTAGGGAAGGGGTGAGGTCCAATGGCGGAGCCGATAATGTAGTGAGTGGTATCAAGTTCAACGACCCAGGCGCGGAGAGCTTCGTTAACTGCATCACGGAGGGTGCGGCTTCCAGCCTCAACAGCGACGACGGAGGCACCAAGGAGCTTCATACGGAAGACGTTGAGACCTTGGCGGCGTACATCTTCGGCACCCATGAAAACGGTACAGGCCATGCCAAACTTGGCGCAAACTGTGGCGGTAGCAACACCGTGCTGGCCAGCACCAGTCTCGGCAATGATGCGGGTCTTGCCCAAGCGACGGGCAATCAAAATTTGACCAAGAGCATTGTTGATCTTGTGACTTCCCGTGTGGTTAAGGTCCTCACGCTTCAACCAGATGTTGGCACCGCCAACCTGTTCAGTCAGACGTTGGGCCAGGTGAAGGCTGCTAGGACGGCCCATGTACGGATAGTAGGAACGGAATTCTTCCCAGAAATTGGGGTCGTTGTTAGCAACATCGAAGCCGCGCTCGAGCTCGCCCAAGCAATCCATAAGGGACTCAGGGACATACTGTCCACCGAACTCGCCGAAGCGCGAGGGCTGGGAGGATGCATCCTTTGTCACGTTGAGGGCCTCAATCTGATCAGCGAGACCAGGTCCGGCGGGGGTGTCGGCATCAGTAATAACTTTGGTGGCTTGAGCCTGGCTAGAAGGCTGGGCCTTCTCAATGGCCTCGAGAACGTTGATCTCGCGAGTGAAGGCGCCGGTGGCATCACGCTCACGCTTGCGTCCAGTAATGCTGGAGAGATACTCCTCGGCAGCCTTGGCGGCCTGGCCAGCAGGGGCCTTGCCAACGCACGTGATGATCTGGCTACCAATGACAACACCCTCGGCCTGCTCCTGGACAGACAAGAAGTGCTCACGGGTGCTGACGCCGAATCCCAATGCAGCAGGGACATTGCCGGAATATTCATGGACGCGGTTGAGAAGCTCGGGGATATTTGCGCTCAATGAGCCAGTGGCACCAGTCACACCCATGCGGGAAACAACGTAGATAAAGCTATCTGCGATCTTGCAGAGGAGACGCATGCGAGCATCAGAGGTGGCAGGGGCGATGAGGGGAACGTATGAGAGACTGAAGCAGTGTAAGCATGTTAGACAATCATAGACAAGTGGTAAAGATTTCAAAGAAAAAAGTAAAGATCGAGACAAACTCACCCAGCGCTTGAGCAAAGGTCGCGGAAACGGACAGCCTCCTCGGGGGGCAAGTCAACCATGATGAAACCATTGACACCAGCCTCCTTGCAGTCACGAAGCATACGCTCCTCACCATACTTGAGGACAGGGTTGAAGTAACCCATGAGCATCAGAGGGGTCTGGAGACCCCGGCTGCGGGCAGTGCGGACGAGCTCAAGGACGGTAGTAAGGGTGACACCATTCTCAAGGGCCTTTGTATTAGCAGTCTGAATGGTTGGGCCATCAGCGATGGGGTCTGTGAAAGGAATTCCAAGCTCGATAATATCTGAGATGTGAGACCAAATGTCAGTAAAGATCGTCCCTTTGAGCAACGTTCACTTGGGGTTGAATTACCAGCGCCGCCATTCTCGAGACCAAGGAGGATATCAACAGCCTCCTCGACGGTGGGATATCCTGCAGTGATGTATGCCACAAGGGCTGCACGTTTCTGTGCCTTGCACTTCGCGAAAGTCTGCTTGATAGCTTCCATGATGAAAAGCAATGCAAAAGTGGCGGGGCAAAAGAGTGTGGGGATAAGAAGAAAGGGAAAAGGAAGAGTCTAATGGGGGGCAAACAATCCCTATATATATGTGCAAGATGAAATAATCGCGCGTGAATAGTTAGTTGAGCGAGGAATGGGATAAGAGGATGTTATAAAAAAAAAGCAAATGATCTGTATGAGTCAAATGCAATTACCCTTTTTCGAGGCCGGTTTCGCCGGCCCCACATCACGTGCCATGATAAGATAGTAGGTCAGCTGACCTTATCGTCTCTACATAGAAGGAGGTGGGACTAATATAGGGTTGGCTGTTTCACGTGATACGGTTAACATCTGTCACTGATCAAGCTGTTCATCACTACCATATCATAGGGGGATATGCCATTTAAAAGGTTGTATGTACATATAAATGTCTCCTACACAATTATGCTTTCTGTACCGTTTTCGTATACACCTAAAAAATACACCGAAAAAGACATCTAAAAAGAACGTCCAAAAAGACCACTAGAAAGACAGTGTAAGGCCACATGAATAGCCGACTATTCTTCTTAGGATTATCATCGAAAATAGAAGATAGTGAAAGAGAGAGAGATCGTAATTAGTATAAAATACAGTACTCAGTTGTTAAAAAACGAAAAGAATACTATTATGAGAGGATCAGCATGATCCACATGGACAGAATTGTTACTACAACATGGGGAGGGTACATGTACGTTCTACAAGACACAAGGTTAATTAAGAAGGATTGAAGTGAAAGTAATCTGATGATCTGCAATGCAACAACTATGATTCAGAATAGGTAAAATTAAGGCAGAAAAGTAAGGATAATAAACGGTCCAACCGCTCAAGCCCCAAACTCCAGAACAATGCAGTAGGTAGTAAGTGACAACAACCCTCAGCTGAAATAACAAGTGGTAAGTACCAAACCAACTCCGAACAAAACTTTCAAACAGAGAAGTGAAAAGTAAACAGGGACCAGACGAGGGAAACCCGAGACATAGGAAGAGGGCTCCATAGTGTCAGGACGTCCTCACCCAAGTACCCCATCCAAAATGCACCAAGGAATAGGACGAAACCGCCAAGATTCCAAGAAAACAAAAACCCCAGTCTATCCCATTCCCAATCCAAAACAGAACCCGCGAATGCAAAAGGAATGACAAGCATGCGCCCGCTATGCTGAATAGTAGTACAAAAGCCCAGAATGTATGTTTTTTATGCGCAAAAAAAAAGGAGTGGAAGCCGCAATGCCCAGCATATAAAATATGCAACCCAAGGAAGGAATGAACAAGACACCGTCTAGATGCGAGGAACAGCTCTCAGAGAGGAGCAAAGTCCAAAATGTCAAAAAAAAGTCAAAAAGCAGATACGCAAAGGTCGCAAGTTTGGGTGTGTGGTGAGAGCATCAGCCATAATAATGTTGCAGTGTAAGGAGGGACGTAAAATCATAATCAATGTGCGAGATGTGAGGTCGAGTAGATACAAGGGCCCTTCCTACCTTTTCAGGTGGGAAGAGAGCTTGTCCCCAATGAGCCGGCAACCCGCTGTCTGGGGCTTGGTAAGGAGTGACAGGAAAAGTAAAATCGTATCTTCAAAAAAGGCGGAGGGGAAGTATGAAAAATATAATGGAAGGAAAACGCAGCAAGAAATCAAATAGGGGGACCAGCCGCGAGGGGGATCAATGGCCGCCGTGGGCTGTATCGTGCATGTTGTACG